TACTAGTATCTCGTCCTAACTTAACTTAACTTACTTACTACCTACCTACCGTACGGACGAGAGAGTAGTAGTACTACTACATACGTATATATATATATATATATATATATATATATATATATATATATATATATATGATGTATATCTGTTTATGTTCCCTACTAGGATGCTTTCCTTTTTTTTTTAAACAGAAACATTAGTATAAGTCTGAGTGTCATATCCTAAATGTACTCTTACCTTTCAACAGTACAATCCATTCATTTTAAATGCAATCATTTTCCCTTTTTTATAGGATACTACAGACTTTGTTGCCTACGTAGCTAAAGATCCAGTTAACCAACGAGGTATGGAAAGCAACTTCTAGATTTTCTTAAGAGCTGGTATATTGTAACTTCAAAAAGTAACAAGCAATTATTTTCAGTATAGAAAGTGACGAGGATCCCTGGAGTGCTATGTTGGGGTCTAGAAATACTATGTAAATTTGAGTTTGAAATAAAGAGCCCTGCTAGCAGGGCAAAGTAGAAAAAATACATAGGTGGAATTTAAATCCCAGTCATTTGAGAGACCCATACACCCAAAGGTTTCTTACCTATTTGTGTAAATGAAAAAGAAACTGTTTTGGTTGCGATAGACAGGGCTGGCTGCCACCTCCCCAGGGGACAAATGAATCACACGTTAAGACCCAAGCCAATGAGGTCATTGGCCTGCAGTGCCCTTGGCAGGTATGTCCACGTGCGTGTGGTGTGTGTGTGTGTGTGTGTTGAGCCTGTGCACTTGCAGTTCAAAGGCCTGGCATGTCTCTTTGAGTGGCTTTCTCTCAGTTTTAAATGTCTCTTCTCTTCTTCAAAGAGACCTTCTTTGACTGACAGCACCTCCTGTCTCCAGTAGTCTATCCCACCCTCCTGGGTCATAACACTATTTCTCTTCTATTGACACTTACCCCACATTTTGGTTATTTTATTTACTCACTTGTTGATACATTTAGTGTCTGTCCTTTCTGTGAAAAGCTCCAAGAGGACAGGATAACCTGTGTGTCTTATTCCCCATTGTTTCCCAAGCACTCATTACAGTTGCACATGGCCGATGCTTAGTAACCTTTTTTGTTGAATGGCGGAGCAAGTAGAGGAGTGAGCTGCTTAGTTGTCTCATCCCGGGATTTAGCAAGGCTGCCTAGGGAACTCCTCTCCCAGCCACGCTTCGGATCAGGAGCCTGAAGTTCCTCAGGTCACTGGACCTCTATGGACAGACATGACCGTAGTGTTGCTTCTCAGCCTGAACTCCGGGACATTCAGACTTCTCTTAGGGACGAGTGTTGGGCTGCTTCTCCCCTTTAACTAGAGCCTCCTGCTCAGGCAGCATCCTCTGTCACCCCAGGGGGTGTGGGTTTGCCCCTACAAACACTTATTAAGCACACATGGAGTGGAATTTGGAAATTCAAGGACCTCTAAGACCCAGAGGTGGAAAGGCACATGGCACACTGAGGAGCAGATGTGTAGAGCACACTTACTAGAATGCAGATTGTGTATGGAGGGGGAAGAGTCAGAAAGGCATCCAGAGGGCAGACAGGGGAGAGCTGCTAAGTAAGGACTTAATCCTGTGGGCTGACGGGTGGAGAAGGCTGTTCACCAAGCAGAGATTTAGGAAGGTTGATTTGGCGGCAGGATGCTGTAGATGGATTCAAGGAGAAATTTAAGGTGGGAAGATCCATTTGGAAGCTCTTGTGATTGTCAGAAATGAAATTATGAGGACCAGCTGCTGGCACAGAACCTGGCACATAGTAGATGCTCAGTAAATGCTCAGTAAATGCCTGCCAAGAGCACATGGCTGTATGCGATGAGAAAAAGGAACAGGTGATGAATACTGTGCAATACTCTATTAAAATAGATACACTTGAAAGTCTGTAGGGAAGAATGGACACTGGCCAAAGAGTGGGTAAGAGAGACAGGAACTAGTGAAGGGGGAACGGGGGAGTAGGAACGGAACACAACAAAGGATACCAGAAAAGAGCAGCCTCTTTGAATCAAGCCGTCGCTTCCCTAAAGAAGAAGCGTGTGCTATTTGGGGAAGGCCTCTGAACAGCAGAGCCCTCTCTCTCAGCTTGAAAAGGACGGGGTGAAAGGAGGAACAAATAGATCAGGAAATCTAGATGTTTAGTGACTTTGCCATCAGTCACTGAGTATCTCAGGCATGACAGTGCTCTTCAGGAAACGGTGGGAGGAGTTCAAAGATGAATGCCGGCCGCTGAGGGTCATGGCCGAGTGGGATCCACATGGTTGCAAATCTCCCCGCCTGCTTAAGGGAAGTAAGAGAGGCAGAGAAAATTACGATGCAGCTCATTCTCTTTGAAATCTCCTGTTCTGGTGCCTGAGTATTTCATCCGAGCTGAACTGCGTGAAGGGGACCCACAGGGATCCTGGCATGGGGACTCTGCAAAGGCATTTATGGGAACTGCTGACTGAGTTCATGGATGGGGTTTGAGAGTTGAGAAGAAAGGGACTCAGAAAACAGTTCAAATAGAAGTTTCAGCTTTTTCTTTCATTAGTCCCCAACATGTGTACAGGAAATAAGAAAGATGCTGGAGTCAGACAGGCGGGGTGGGAATCATAATTCTCCCAGCATCTCCCCATAGACCTCAGCCAAGTTGTTTCACATCCTGAATCTCAGTTTCTTTCAGTGGGAGTAGTAACATCTACTTGCTGTCGTCGTTGGGAGCACTAACAGGTGATACAGGGGAAGCATCATTTCCTTTCCTCCCTTCTCATCTTTCTTTCTCCTTTGGGGAAACAAGACTTAGAAACAGAGGGTGATTTTCTTGGGCAAAAAATATAGTGTCTTCTCATCACTTGCTGCTCCTTTCTTGTCCGCCCACCCCTTCTCTTGTTTACCTTGTTTATGGAAACCTCTGTGAGAAGCCACTATGTTCACAACATACCCACTGCTTGCCCACCCCTCTTGTGTCAAATCCTCCCCCCGCATCTGAGCCTCTGGACTTTAATTTCTGCACAGAGGTACAGATGCAGCTCTCGAGCCCAGAAACATTTATTAATTACATCCTAATATACAAAGAACTGAGCTAATTTTTATGGAAGAGAAGTAATTCCTGGCTTGCATGGGCAAGAGAAACATAACCCTGTAGGATGTGCAGGAGAAGGCAGGGAGCACAGAGAACCGTGCCTGGACTCTAGCAAGGGGCTGGAGAATAAGTGAATAAAGGCCCAGGCGGAAGAGCTGTGCAGCGGGAGCTTCGGGCTGTGGGTTTGGATGGTGTGTGCAAGAGTGGGGTTGCAGAGAAAGCAGAGAGTAGAAGTAGGGAAACCACGGCTGAGAAGATAGGGCAGAAACGGATTACGGAGGCTTTGAATGCCAGCCAAACGGTCACTGGAAGCTATAGAAGATTTTGAGCTTTCTAAAAATTATTCTGGCTTCTGCCATTCTACTGAAATTATAAAATGAGAATTTTTCTGACCGTTATATCTGTGTAAGTGATACTGGTGGGCAGGAAAGCAGTCTGGAATTGCAGAGTCCAGTTTGGAGGGTATCTCATTGGTCCTGAGCAGGGGTAGAGATGTTCCAAACTGCCCTGGGGAAAGAAGGGACAGTTTGGACAAAATTGTGAACTAACAGTACTTGGGAGCTATTTAGATACGAGAGTTGATAAAGAAATCGAGAGCAGATGATCCTGAGGATTTAACGAGCTATTGTATGCAACGCAAACATCTCGATGCCTGGCTCATAGTAAGTATGCGATAAATGACAGCTATTATTATTATTGTTGCCCTTGTTGTTATTGTTATTGTCCTGAGTGATGCGGCGTGGTGTTCCAAGTGTGGAACTTGAACTTGGATCTGGATCTCTGCATAGAGTTCTTTCAGACAACCCGACAGAGAAATAGACAAAAACGTCATCATTTGTTGTGTGCTCACCACATGCCAGGCATTGTCAGGAGCACATAGTCTTCACTGTCTTATTTCATCCTCACAAAAATTCTGTGAGGCAAGGTATCACTTCTGTTTTATAGGAGGAAACTCTGGAGTTGAGACAAGATGGTTTTACTAAGCTCACCCAGCCAGTAAGCACCTGGCCCAACTCCAGGTGTGGAGTACACACTTAACAAGGCACCAAGAAATGTTAAAAAAAAAAAAAAAAGTTTAACTTTATTAGCAATCAGAGAAACACAAATTATGATTAGGTATCATATTTTGTCTTTCAGTTTCAAACACTGATCAAAGGTAAAACGTGATTTAGAGTAGTAATAACTCTTAACACTGCTGGTAGGAGTGTAGGTCCAAATGGAGAGCAATTTGGCAGTTTGCATCAAAACTTTAAAAAATGTAAATACTTTTCAACCAGCAATGCCACGTCTAAGGGAGTAAGCCATGCACAAAGATTAAAGCAATAAAGATCACTGTCATATGTTATTTACATAATAGGAAGAAGAAAACTCAGTATTCATAAATAGCAAATTATTTAAATGAATCCAATGAATGTACTCTGATGCAATTTAATTTTTTAAGCTTTTTTTTAGAGGTGGGTGATTGTGTTTGTTTGTTTGTTTGTTTTTTAATGGAGGTGCTGGGGATTGAACCCAGACCTCATGCATGCTAAGCACACACTCTACCCCTGAGATATACCCTCCCCCTCGATGTAGCAATTAAAGCTAGTGTTATAGAATAAATAATGACATGGGGAAAATATTCACAATATTATTAAGTGCAAAAAGCAGATTATGAAACAATGTGTATAGTATGATCCCAGGTAATTTTTTGGTAAAAAGATTGGAAAGATACATGCCAAAATATTAATAGTGTGTAGTTACTCCTGGACAGTGAGACTTATGTAATTTGTATTTCTTCTTGGAGTTTTTTTAAATTTTCTAAAACTCCGATAATGAATATTTATTACCTTTGTGAAAGGAAAAGAATGCTCAAAATCCCTGAATAAATACCAGAAAATAGTGAAACCAGAGACAATGCTAGAAAATCACCTAGTGAGTTGGGTTCATGCAGGGGAAAATGTTCAGTGGAGGAGAAGCCCAGAGGTGGGTGGAGGGGTGGGAGAGACACCAGGCCTTCAGGTGCAGGACTGGGGAAACAGCAGCTCTTAGTCCTAAGGGTGAGCAAGATCACTGAAGGAAGAACCCAGGAAGAAGAGGGCTGAGGTTCTCAGGGAGTGGGACAAAACCAAGAGATGAGTATTAGTGAAGATGGAGGAAGAGCAAGTTTCTCTGGGAGAAGACAGCTGGGAATGTCTCAGACTGAAAGGGAATTAAGGGGAAAGATGATGAAAAATGCCACTGAGCCCAGCAGTTGACAGGCTGGGTAAAGGCAGGGGCCAGACCTCAGGGACAAGGGGAGCCTGGCTGAGAGGCAGAGAGCCTAGGTTTCATGCTAATAATCCTAAATGTTCCCACTGTTTGCTTGATTCACTTTTTTAGCATTAATGCATTCAAGTCAGGGAAGCTGACACTTTTCCATCTCAGCTAGGACCCTTTAGTGAACTCATTTCATAAAAGGCCTTTTCTGTAGACAAGATGAGTTCTAGTAAGAATGTGTTGAGTCTACCTGGTGACTAATACAGCCGGCCCCTGTAATTGCTGTCAATGGGGAAATCTCTTCACCTCTTACGCAAATGTGTCTAGTACAGGAAGGTTTAAATATTCTGTCTGACCCTAGTTTACCTGGACTACCTGATATAGGAAGGCCATGGTCCTGAGTCACCGAAGAAAGTAAAACAAATACCACCTGTAAAACCAATTTAAATTAACCTAATTATGTATATTTATCTTTGTGGTTATAAAATACTTGCATTCGTCCTGGTGTCATTCGCTCACTGTAGTTGGACTGCTGGCTAGCTTCTTCCCACTGGTTTCTTCATAAGCAGTGCTAGACTTTTAGTCCCACAGCTCCATCTGGTGGTTAACCTGAGAAGCTGCACTTTTGAACTTCTGCTTTTCTAATAAAAGCAAAAAACAGAAACAAAAACAAGCCGACAGCAACAACAACGGACCTATTTAAAATACATATAAAATAGTAAAGAAGGGCCTGTTATTCTCTAAGAATTGTTCTCAGCCTCTTGCCCATAGCTATCCAATTAGGAAACCAAATGAAAAAGTCAGAGAATATGAATCTGAGATTCTTCTAAATCTAACTTCATAAAGCCCCCCATACCCAGAGTAGAACTGTGGGTCTGTCTGGTTACAAGGCAGGATGAAAAGGACCCAGGTCTGTGTCTGATTCCAGACATGGAGATCAAAGCTCAGGCCTCCATGCAAAATTATCACATCACTGGAAAGTCAGATTCTTTTCTGGTCATTGGGACTTTTATAAACTTGTCTTTCTTCCTTACCATTAGCTGAAGATTGGGCAGTTCTTGGCCAAGCTGGTACTAATCTGGGTTTTTGGAGGTGGGTCTAGCACTGGGGAAATGGGCATATTTGTATGTGATTCAAAGCTCATTCTTCATCTAGCTCATGAGCAGCCTAAAAAAGAACAAAGAGCATTTTCACAGAGCAACACGTGAGAGCAGCAAGAGCACCATCCACACGTGCGTCCCCTGCAGGTGGCGAGGCTGCGCGGAGCGGAGCGCCTGCCCAGGTCAGGCTTTTTGTCCAGCTGTTTCTTTGGTAGAGATAGGCACCACTATTTTCTCTTTTTCTTTCTGTTTAAGCTTTAAAAAGTAACAAGGTTACCTAAGGCAAAGCGGAAAATTATGTTGGTAACATCAGCCCAGGAACAGGACCAGGGCCTCAAGTGTCAGAATCAGAAAAGTTGAGAAAAATTAAGACATTTTAGAAGCACATGAGAAGCGGGAGAGGACAGTTGGTGGCTTTGGTTGATTCATTCATTCCTGTGTGCCCACGTGCTTTGCCTTGTTCCTTAAACTCCTGCAACAGAGGGAGGCTAGGATTTCTATAAAGCAGGAGGGGACTTCAAAGATCATTCAGTGCCTTGGCAGTGAGGACCTTGCTATAGAATAACTTATTCACATAGATCATGGCATAATTGGAACTTGAACTGGGATCTGAATCTCTGCATAGAGTTCTTTCAAACATCCTTGTTCTCTCATCCTTCTCATGGGAGGGACATTTCAGTTTTTCTTTCTTTATCTGTCTATTTTTTTTACTTATCTATTTATTTATGCTTGAATTTCCTGCCTCTCTCATTATCTTTTCCATCTTTATCTCCAGACATCTTCTTGATCCTAAGAGAAAATAAAATTTCAAAAATTATTTCCATTTTGATGCGATTTCCAGTCTTGATTTTTAATTGGACCAGGAATTTATGAGATGAAAGAAAAGATATCAAGTGAATTACCTTTTCTTATCACAGTATAACACAACTTCTTTTGAGCCAACTGGACGATGCATCTCCAAGGGCACTTTGAAGATTTAAGGATATGAGGTCTGACCAGGAAGGAGGAGACCATTGCCACGAATGACCCAAGCAATCATGTGTACTGCTCCTTGGTTGTGAGAACCTGCCCATGATGGGGGCTCCCTATGGGTCTCACTTCAGTAAAAGTGAAGACAGTTTCTCACAGTTGGGTTTTTGGTGTGATTCAGAGAAATCAGTATTTATTCCTTCAACACCTATTTTAAAAACACCTTCTATGCATTGGTCACTATGTGAAGCTTGTGTAGAGAAAAAGAAGGGGCAATATACAATGGCAGTCTAAAGACAGCCCAGGTGGGAAGGTATAGCTCAACTGGAAGAGTGCATGCTTTGCATACACAAGGTCCTGGGTTTAATCCCCAGTACATCCTGTACAAAAAATTAATAAACCTAATTAGCTCCCCTTCCAAAATAAAAATAAATAATATAATAATGAATAAATAAAATATCTTGGGGGGAGGGTATAGCTCAATTGGTAAAGTGCATGCTTAGCCTGCATGAGGTCCTGGGTTCAATTGCCAGTACCTCCATCAAGTAAGTAAATAATTAAACCTAATTACCTCCCTCAAAAAAAAAATTCAAAAAAAAAAGATAAAATAAAAGACAGCCCAAACATTTTCCCTTCGGTTACGAATTTTCTTAATTGAGTTTTCAAAACTGTAATTAGCTCCTAAGTCTGTTTCAGGATCCAAGTTGTTTCTTTAAAGGGACAACCTTATACGCAATGATAAGGAGTAGGTTATAGCTCAGGGGTAGAGTGTGTACTTAGCATTCACAAGGTTCAATCCCCCCCACCTTCATTTCAAATACATAAGTAAGTAATACATAAACCTAGTTGACCCCCACAAAAATTATTTTTAAAAAAGAAAAGTTAAATAACTTTTGGAGGTTTGGCACCTTAATGTTGTTTGATTTAGTAATACCACCCACCCCCATATACACAAATATCCCTTCCGGAAGTTCAGAGACATAAATCCTTTAAGTAAATGTTCAGCTAATTCTGAAATGAGAATTATCTGACATTCCTTGAGATGATTATCCGCATAAAGCTAGGAAACACCGTTGCATGTTCTACTGTCACCTGCCGTGAGAGGCTCTGCAAATTCCATTAGATGTGAATGGATTGCCTTTTACTTTAAATAAATACAAAATCCTTTCTAAGATAATGCAAAGCCTAAAATCATGCTTCCAAGTCAACACAGTTAAATCATTCTATCAAGACGGGGCTCTGCTCTCCTTGGGTGTCCCTTTTGGTAATATATTCCCGCATTAGTCCCACAGCTTCATACCTTCCCGGGTGTCTGATTCCCTGTGCTCTCATTTAAGCCTTTCCTGTTCTCAGAGAATAGCTGACAGGTTTTTACAACATTCTTGTATATGCTTAACCATTATCAAGCTTTTCCTCACCCCTCAATTCTATACAAACCAATTTGTTGTTAAAATTTTTCTCATGGGACTTACTGCCTCTCACTTTAAGCCATCCTTACGACCTTTTCTATGCCATCCTTATGAAACCACAAATTCAGTTAAATCTTCGTATGGTAAGGCCCTAAGCACGACACCATACTCTAACCAAGGCAAGCCTGATATTCCTCATGGTGGGGAGGTTAATTTATGGTCCCCAAACATAAGCTCCTGTTTTTACGTAGCGGCAGCGGCGGCCTTGCTAATTTGTGTGTGAGAGTCTGTCAGCGGCCCTCTCCACAATTTGCTTCTTGAATTTGCTCAGGAAAATTAGTCCTTTCCAGTAACTGCTTCTCAAATAAAGTGTCTCGTAAAAATTTTGAACATCTTCTGGTAATGTTGTCTTCATGACATCTTTATTTTGATGCTTATTGGAGATAGTTCTTTGGTAGGATTTCAAAGACAGGGCAAAGGAACGGCAAGCGGAGGGAGCGTTGTAAAAGCCCCTATCTTCACCAGTAGCTCATCCCCCATTCTGTTGGGGGGAGCTTAGAAAGTCACCTTTTTTTCAGTCATCTGTGGCACGCCATGTGAAAGCAAGACTACTCATCTTCCCCACCAAAATATGAAAAAGGATATATGTATGTGTGTGCATGCTTGGGACATTGTGCTGTATACCAGAAATTGAGACACTGAAATTGACTGTACTTCAATAAAATGTAAGTAAATTAAAACAAAACAAAAAACCCCTCATCTTCCCGCCAGGTTGCTGCTCTAAGCATCTTCTGGGTGGAATTCTAGATCTAGCACTGAACCAGAGTCACACGATTAGTCAAGCTGAGTCTGCCTTTATTAAAATGTGGGCCCCAGATATCTACCTCAAGGCAAAAAATTGTAAATGTTTTGAGATACTTGGTTGTAAAATATGAATGTTTCTTCTGTTTGATGCATGTGAAATATGAGGTATTCTTTATGCCATTTCAGAGCTGAAGAGAGCTTGTAAACCTGCTTCCTTTTATTCAGTTCCCAGTTCCTGTTCTGCAGGTGTTTTGACTTTATATACCCTTCTCTTACTGACAGTCGATGGTAATTGTTTTGTGTGTCCTCTTGCAGCCTGCCACATATTGGAGTGCCGCAGTGGAATGGCCCAAGACGTCATAAGTACCATAGGGCAGGCCTTCGAACTCCGGTTTAAACAGTATTTGAAAAATCCTTCTTTGAATACGTCTTGTGAAAGGTCAGCCAGGAGTTCTATAATTATTTGACTTACCGTATTTCGTTTGGTTTTAAAGTTAACATAGCAATTTAAATTGAGCAATGAAATCAGTAGTGTTTTTCCTACAAACAGGTACAGTTTCAGTCCAATCTAACAGTGACATTTTCTGTTTTTTCCCTCCATTCATATTTGTCCAGATATTCCCCCTTGCTCTGTAGCAGAATTAAAGGAAACACTAACAGTGGGAAGGGACTGACCCTGTTTCTCTGATGGTATACAGAACTATGAGTGAATCAGGCAGTATCATAAAATAATAAGCATCAACACATTTCTCAGATTTGTTTCAACCCCAGATCCCTTGCATTATACGTTTTAAAAAATTAAGGAAGAAGAGCAGAATAATAAGAATACAATGGCTGGAGCAAGAATTCCTGTTGGTTTGCTGGTTTGCAGTGCAACTAGATCAGCTCCAGCTAAGCTATGACAGGGGTAGAACACGACGTGACCCGGGGATCTGGCGGTTCTGTCTGAGGCACAGGAAGTCCACCAGGAAAGCTGAGCCCTTTCAGGCCTGTCAGAATCCACCACGAGTGGGAATGCAGTGAGGCCGCCGGCTAGTAGATTTCACACCCAAGAAGCAAAACTCTCAGGCACTTTTAAGTGCATTTCTGGAAACCCGTACTTTGTCATTTTGTGTCTCGGCCAACACTGGGTCTGGAGATCTCCCTCTAGGAGGTGGGCTAGGGTAGCGGAGGAGAGGAGCTCGCAGCAGGCCCTGGTGTTGGATTTTCCCTAGGGTAGCACTTACATCTGAGTGCTGTCATTTTGTTGACATGTAATGAACCCAACAAAACTGTGTGGGTTGTCAGTGGAATCAGCTCAGTCCAAATGGACTTGATTTATTCTTTGTCATAAGCAACTTTTACTAATTCCGATTTGGAAGAAAAAAAATCCTTTTTTTTTTTTGCCTTGTTTCAATTTTTAAAACAATGCATGTTTACGTAAATCTACCCACTTGCCACATATGGTTCTGATATTTCTTTATGAATCTCATATATTCCAGATTTGTGCAGACAAGATAGTTGGCCATAGCTCTTGTATTATTTTCATCTTAGCTTAATAAACTGGGCCAGGCCCTCTGTCCAATATCTAAATTTTCTTCAAGCAAAGCATTTCCGAAATGATACAGTGAAAGCATTCTGGAGACAACCAGGAAAACTTTGTATTTTTATCCTATTGACAAAACACCTTACATTCAGGGAGTTCGTATAGATATGTAGATACATATGTGTATATATCTATATATATACACGCACATACATACATATACATAATACACATGCATATCTATGTATGTATATGGATATACACACCCATACACATATTTTATCACTGAGGAAAGACACAAAAGCATCACCCCTGGCACTTTTTGTTGGCTGACCCCACTTTAATTGTCTACAGAAAGCTAAACAACTCAACCATATGGTTGCTTCCATCCAGAAGTTTGACATCACTTAAGCACAGCTATAAACTTAAAACATGAATGTGAAGTTTTTCAGGACGATTTACATGGCTTTGCTCCCTCTGCATCCCCCACAGCATTTGAATTCCCACCCAGTGTCTTGGGGATGCTTTTTTCCCTTACAGTGAGGAGGTGCATGTTGACGGCCATGCCGAGGAGAGAGGGGATCATGAGTATTACAATGAAATCCCAGGGAAGCAGCCGCCTGCTGGTGGTGTTTCGGATGTGCGGATCCAAGTTCAAGCCACAGAACAAATGGCTTACTGTCCCATACGGTGTGAAAAGTTGTGCTATTTGGTAAGTAATGTTTTATTGCTATTGGAGCTAGCCATGCACTTCTGTCCTTATCACCAGAGAGCTTAATTTGAGGATTTCCAAATGCTGGTTTAGAGAAGGTATCATCTTCCTCATTACAGAGCCAGAGAGTGAATCATTGTCGGAGCCTGTATTAAATAATTTGTTCTCCTAATCCCCCAGCCTCGGCCTCAGGGGATGACCTCACATCTTACTTCACTGAGAAGACTAGGACTGTCCAACGTGTTACCCTCAACTTCACCCTTTCCCATCTCCAGGTCTTTCCACGTGTTCCTTAACTTTCTTCCTTAGCTACTGTCTCCATGGCTAATCTTTCCGCTGAGCTCCTGAGCCCACCCCTCCTCCCAACTCTGTGCCCTTGTCCGTCCTTCAACCTCTATGTCACAAAAAAGTTGGAAGAAATACATAGTGAGTACTCAGATGCTCACCACCTAGGTCCTACAGTTGTACTTTTACTCTGTTTGCTCTGTCATCCTGTGTAGCTATCTGCCATCCATCAATCCATCTTATTTTTGATGTGTTTCAAAGTAAGTTGCATCTTTTCTTTTTAATATCTTGTTTTCTTGCATCCCCTCCCCTGTGAAGTCGAGCCCCTGCCTCGCCTCCATGGAATCACTTCCGAGGGGTCTGGCCTTGGCCCTGGTCTCACCTCAGGCATGCCACCTCTGTGCGTGCTCCTCCAACCTCTCAGTCTCAGCCGTTACCTCCCTCTCCAGCCATAATGCCGCAAGCATTACATTGCTAGTTCATATCAAGATTAAACTCACCATTCTATGCTTGACTCCAAGCCAGATTCCTTTACTGATTTACACATGTTTATTAATAGCAGTCCTACTCTTTCACTGATCTTCAGTCTTTTCTGTTTCTCACAATTTGGGCCTCATATCAACTCAGTCTTCAAGGCTTAGGATCCTACCATGAAAATATCTTGAATCTACCCAGCCTTTATCATTCCTCTTGCGTCTTCCTCAGTTCTGGTCCCCACTTGCCTGGATGATTCTGAAAGCCCCATTCTTGTCTCTGATTTCATTCCTTTAAATCCTCCTATATGAAACTGCCAGATCAATCTTTCTGAAGGATAGACATTGCCCTTCTCAAAGGCATCAGTGACTCCTATACTGTTACTGAAGAGAGCTATGTGTATAAGGGATCATTGACGCCTTTGACAGCATGAGATTTTCAAGGATGAAAAGTGAGCCTGGCACACACCTCAGTAGAGTAGGGCTCCAGTCTGCTGGTTCATGGTTAAATAGTGGTTTACTCCATGGCCAGTGTTTGCACAAGTGTTCTGGAAATCACACTTTCTGGCTGAGACTTGGATTGAGTCCTGCAACGTGACCTCCCAAGCGGAAGCAGTAACTCTCGGATACAGCCCTTACATTTACCACCCCCGACCCCAGTCAGACCTTTCTCTGTAATGCCAAAGCAACGCACCAGGAGAGGCGTCTGTACTCGCCACCTAAAGTCTCAGTTTCCTTTTCTCACCTGTCAGGCACTTCCTGTGTCGGAAAGTGAAGTTGTCCACTAAATTCTGCTGGGAACATTATTTTGTTTTTAAAGTTTATGGGAAAAAAGATACTTTTTTAAAGGGAAAAAATGAAGACTTTTTTTTAAAGAAAAAAATAATAAAGCTTCTGAACTTATTCTGTGTTTGTTAATGTTTTGCAATTTGTTGTTCATACAGCCTGGAAACTCCAAGTGCAGCAGTGTATATGAGAACTGTTTAGAACAAAGCAGGGCCGCGGGTAGGTACAATCGCCCCTCTCCATCTGCCACTCTCCTTTTTCCTTTTAAGTTATGGGGTCGTGTGGGGCCCTTGCTCTTAAGTACTTCGTGGGAAAGTCAAGGGTGAACAACCAAACACGTGCTTCGGCTGCAGGCCTCCCGCGTTCTGAGAAGCCCAGAATGCCCCGTGTGTGTCAGTCGGGAAGCTGCGGTTCTTCCCTGTCCCTGTGTGCCCTTCCACCCTGCGGTTCTGCTTTCAGGGCTCTTCCACTGCTCTGACATCATGAAGGCCCTCTCACTGGAAAGGTGCTTGCTCTCCTCAAACCTCCAGGGAGTGCCACTTCACAGAACATCGGACAGTAGGCTCATATGAAAACTGATGCTCGTCAGAGCCGTTAGGATTAAGAGAAAACCTTCATTTCTGCTTGGCAGAGGGAACAAAAAGAAATCTGAAATGTGAGCATCCCAGTTAGAGGTCCATGTACCCCATACTTGCCAGGGCATGACATGTCTCATTACTGCACGTGATACTTGATGTTGGGGACAACTTTTCCACAACACAAATGTAGGGAATAAACTATCAAGATTGGAAATTAATTTTCCTAAAAACATTATACTGCTAGATAGTCATTGTATGCTTATAAGTTAATGAAAGTATTTATTTCTTTGGGAACAAAAGTTTTTGCCGCTTTAGAGGGGGAGGTAACTGGACTTTATAAATAATGCAGTGGAGGATGGAGTTGATAACCACACTTAGGGACTTAAATTAGCAGCAACTTGCCACCTAGAAGGTAGTCTCTCACTTCCAAGGATATTCTCATATTTCTTATGGGATTATGTCAATGTGATCCATTAATTTCATTATTTCTTATACAGTGGGGATACCTGAGGATTTGGTTACAGCTATGATTACCACTTTCCTCTACCCTGCAAAAATAGTAGAAGTAGTGAGCTAAGACAGCATTATAAGTTCTTTAAAAACATGGTTCTTTTTGATAGAAACTAAAATTCCATGCCATTCTTCAAAGGTATTTAAAGTCCCAAACAAGTTCTTAGTAATAGGACTAAAACAAATTGAATTAATGTCAAGAGTAAATGTCTTTTAAAAACTGTGTTCCCTAGGAGCTGCGGTTCCTTCCTTCTTTCCTCTTTTCCCCTTCCCCTGGAAATTCCTAACCTCGGATATAGTTTCAGGAGCATCCACACACGCTTTGTAGTATCGTATCCACCTTCTGCCCATGCTGAAGCTCAGTTTGAAATATCTCCAGCTCCTGTTCTATCTCATTCTGCATTTTCACTTATCCAATAAGGCACTCAGTGATTATAAGGACCTCCTGTGGGGCAGGCACTGGGCTGGGTGCTAGGGCTGGAGACACAATTGGCATTCATGTAGTTTGCAGTTTAGCCAGAAAGACATACCTTAAACCAATGCTTACGAATGTGATGAGTATTTCAAGGCCCAAGATGTTATGGGAACAAATAACAGGGAAACCCAACTTAATCTAGGGGGGCTGGAGAGGTTCTCCCTAAGGAAGTGGCAACCAAACCAAGACCTGAGGGATGAGTGGGAATTATGGAGAATTCCCAGCACAGAGAGGGCAGGGAGGGAGGGAGAGGGGGAGGGAGAAAGTATAAATGAGAGCTGGAATTCCTGAGTGTGCCAGGACCAGTTCCCTGGTCATTGCACGGAGAGAGAACAGGGAAGAGAGAGATAGTTTTGGACCCAGGACGGAGTCCTGTGGAACTCCAAATCGGTTAGCCTTGCCCAAATACGACTCCTTCCAGCTCATCTCCCTCCAGTCCACGAAACAGTCGTCGTGGCACACCCTCCTGTCTGCAGTCACGTAGCTCCTGAAGGGAACTCACTGCATGAAAATCCTCAGCATTCCTAGGATGATGCTGACTGTGCCAAATCAAGACACTATCGTCAGAGAAGAGGGCTATGCTTTCCTTCCTTTTCCTTTTTTTCTCAGGAGCACTCACCTTGATTTGATTTTTATTTTACGTTTTTAAAGTAGCCTTCCCCCTCCCCGTCCGTGCCGCCAAAGCATACAGTTAAGAAGGAATTAGTGGATAGGGAGGTACCATTTCAACTTTATTCAAGATTTTTCTTTTTGTAAGTGTAACCTTGTCCTAGAATCCAATTTACTGTTTCTGTTTATCTTGGTTTTATTTCTCCTTTAAACCAACATACCATGTAACCCCTTATTCTTTCCTGGCTTCCACATGCCCTAAGCACTATCAGATCTAAACTCAACAGACTTTTGTAATAAACACTTATTTGGAGCCTGGAACCTATTTCTATAGAGTTACTTTTGGCCATGATGGCTGTCTCCTAGACTAGTGACCGTATTCTGACATTTTTGTTTCCTGTCCCGGAGTTTGCATGTATATTTCGTAATGGCAAATACAGCACTAGGAAATTCTATTGCAAGCACCTGTTCTCCTGTTACACTGGTTGTGGGGCAGTCTGGGACCCAAACAGAGCCTTGGCACACTGCCTTCCCTCACGGTGACCTAAGGTAGCAGTTCACAGCTGGGAACCTTTCAGAATCTCAGGGAGGTGAGAGATGTTGTTTGTAGTTTGGAAAAGACCCTCCCACTGGATATCCTCTAACCCCTGAAGATCACTGCACTACAGCATTGTTTTCCTAGAAAAGCAGATTCTAACTTCCAGTGGGAACCAGAGTGCTAGGAAGCCATCTCCCCAGACCTCAGCCACTAAGACTGTGCGGGGTTGGGAGACTCAACCCCCGCACCAGGGGCCACAGCGAACAAGTGAAGTCCCTCTTGTTGAGGCTAGAAGGGCTTTTCTAACTCAGTGTGTGTTTACCCACAGACACCCAGAAGTCAGGGGCTCCTATTTTGGGGCGGGCCTGTGACTACTTGGGCATGTATTTAAAAGTGACCTGAAATTCACAACCAGTGACCAAACTAATAGAAGTTGCCAGAATAACAAATGGACTGTTTTTAATGGCTTTTCCCAGAGATTCATACGTAAGCATTTAAGAGACACCTAAACAAATATTTTCAGTAAGGTCTGGCTTTTTTACTCAAAGTAATTTGTTGATTCAAATACTGACTTGAAGCTTGAATTCTGGTGTATTAGAAACACTGCAGTAGGCGTCTCATTGTTGAAGGAGTTAATTGTATTTATTTCAAGACGTATAAAAGAGTTCTGCCCTTAATAATAAATTCCCTTGTGGAGAAAAATAATTAGCAGAATAGAATAATGTTTCCCCAACCTTCAAGTTAAAATGAAAATATTGATATTTTAAATAAAAAAGATGTTAATTTCCCACAAACCCTAAGAGCTTGCACTTAAAAACTTTGGTACATATAGTACATACAGCGTGTATGTATTTATTTTCTGCCACAAATCTTCTCTTCAGCAGGTTGGATAGGTTCTCAAAGTAATACTTGGCACGGAGAACTTTTGGAATGCATGGTGCCTGGCATGTGTGGTTAAGCTCCCATCAACCACACACTTTACCCTAGAAAGATTTTTAATTTGGGCACAGGGTGAGTTCTGTGGTTTATTTTTTATTTTATTTTTTTGATTGAAGACAGCATTACTGACTTAGATATAATGGCTCATTTGCAAAAAAGGAATGGTCGTTTTTGAGAGAGACTGTTTAGACATTGATGCTTTTGTGTAGCCCCGTGGGCTGGTAAACTCGATGTGGTCGGCTCGTGCCAGTGCGCTGGGGGCGGACAGACGAGTCAGCACCCCGTGCTAAAGGGTGCCTCAGGGTCTTTACAACATGGTGGGGCCACAATTGCTAAGAAAGGAAAACTGGGTAGACATTCAGTCATCTGTTCATTCACCTGACAAACATTTTTCTTTTGAGCACCTGCTTTATACCAGGCGTTGAAGATGTGGAAGTTAACAGATAAATGGGTTCTAATCTCTCCTCAGGACTCAAGGAATTTGCAGTGTCAGTGGGAAGGCAGAGAAATAAATAGAGACCTACAGTTTATTGTGGAGTGGCACCTTGCCCAGCCTGAGGTGCAGAATGTTACAGGACAAGTCGGAGTCAGGTCAGGAAAGGGACGGGAAGAATATCAAAGCAAGATATGAGCACCATGCTCAGCGTGCCAGCATCAGTGAGTAAGCACACAGCTGAGCAGCGAGGCAGGCACCGAGTTCAGTGAGGGGCTCACCCACACTCTCATTGTATCCGCATAACGTGTTTTAAGCTTGGCATCCCCATTTTACAGATATGAAAACTGACACTTAGGTTAAGTAATTTGCCTCAGGCCACACAAATAATAAGAGGTACCAGGGGGATCTGAACCCAGGTCCATGTTAATTTAGAAGCAGACCTCTTACAAACACTTTAAAAATTTTTTTGTTTTTTATTGAAGTGTGGTTGATTTACAGTGTTGGTTTCAGGCATACAGCAAAGTGACTCAATTATATATATATATGTATATATATATACACACACACATACATACATGTATTTTTTTCCAGATTCATTTCCATTGTGTTTACAAGAAATTGAATATACTTCCCTATGTTATCCTTGTTGTTTATCTGTTATATAGATAGTAATGCGTATCTGTTAACCCCAGACTCCTAATTTATCCCTCCCCCATCGTTTCCACTTCGGTAAACATAGTTTGTTTTCTATGTCCATTAGTCTGTTTTTGGTTTTTTACACACTTTTCATCATATTCCACTTTCACTAAATTTTTATGGGAAGGTACTCCTAAATAAATAAGAATTCAATCATGCATGAATTCTCTGCAGGATACTAATGTATTATGCATGTATTATAAAACATACACAAGAGTAGAAAATTTCAAAGTTAGAGTTAATGATAAATAGACATTTTCAAAAACTGTCTTGCTAATTACAATGGCTGAATACTGTCATTAGGTAATAACTCAAGGCCCAATATACATTTAGAGCATTTACTAATAAACAAAATAAACAAAATAGGCATAAATCCACATTTCAGTCTTGATAATTTTAACTGTCAGGAGGCCAAAGTTGATCTAATCAGATCATTATTGTTTATAAGTTCATAACATAGTTAAGGAGGAGCTTGTACTGAGTAAAAGAGTGATCTTCAGCCCTTGATTTCTTGGCAGTGGTCTTTTAGCCACTTGTCCATTTGTGAAAGTAAGTTTAGTTTAAATTGGATAATATAGTTGATGAATCCACTTAACCAAGCAAATGGAAACTGTCCTGTGTTGTAAAATGCAACAGAGAGGTAAGGTGCCCTGTTGCCCCTCCCTCTGTAGAAATCCCACTGCTTCCTCAGGATACCCCACATACAGAGCAGACATGGGACAAGGGGACGGGTAAGGACTGGACAGACAAGGAGTGAAGGAGGAGCAGGCAGTAGGCAGGACTGTAGTCTTCCGACCCGGCTTCCCCTATTTGGTGTGTTTTAGGTTTCCATACTTGCATCGTAAGAATCGTAGCACTATTCGCCATGATGTGAAATCCAGTATAAAGCTGGTCCCTTTTGGACCACATTGAAGGGGTTTAATTGACTGGAAGGACTGCTGTCGTTTTATAGTAAAACAGGGGAATGTCGACGTCACTACTTCGGGTGCAGCCTCACGGGGACCTTGCCAAGACTATACGTGTATGTGTTTAAACAGAAAAGCGAAAACATTCTATCCTGGCATTCTCAGGTCAGAACCAGTTGGATGGTACAAAGTACTTCATGCCATCAGGTAGTGAAATATTGTGCTGGTATCCTTTCGTTCTGTCACTGTTTGTTGATGTTGTAGTATATGCTAGGCAGGTGCAAAAGGCAGAGGTTGCAGCTGTGAACCGGACAGACAGCATCCCTGATTTCACGGAACATGCAGTCTAGATGCAGAACAGATGTTTAAAAAAGATGATAACATAGTGGAACGAATTACTTTTGTGATATGGGCTTCAAAGGTGAAGTGCAAACTTCTAGGAAAGCAGAGAGACAGAGTCTAGTCTGAGAAGGTCAGGGAAGGTTCTCTTGAGAAAAATGTGTTTAAACTGACACCTCAAGATGAGGGAGATGGAGAAGGGGAGGGAAGGGCATGTCAGTCAGAGAAAACGGCCTCAGGGTGGCGCTTACACTGCGAGAAGGCCCATGTGAGCCCGGTCAGAGACTGGGGAGGACTGGGGTGCAAGGGAAGCTGGGCACTGGCAGAGGGCCTGGGGCTTACTGAAGAGTCTGAGTTGTATCTGAAGAGCAGTGGGAGGCAGTGACAGGGTTTTTTAACCTCTGAGAAGTAGGATCAGATTTTCAGCCATAAAAAGATAATTTTGGCCACAAGGATTGAATGGAGTGGAGGGGAGAGGGCAGGGTCGGGGGAAGAAGGCGGTAACCCAAGCGGTGGGTTCTTCCCGTCAGATGACACAATGACCATCAGCAGCTGGTGCTGCTGGCTGCGTCTGGCAAAACAAAACCTTGGCAACAGAGGGAAGATGGACTTCCACTCCTAATAATTTAAAATTAAGTGATGAGGTTTTTGAAAAGCAGCTTACATAGTAGATATTCAAGTTCCACGTGGCATGTGTGTTTTCTCGGTTCCTGGACCGCCGGTCTGAGCCGTGCAGGTGTGTGCTGTTTGCTGGACAGTCAGCTCCCTGCCTCCCCTGGCTGTTCCTCTTTCGGGTCTTCCCGGTTTATCTGCTGTCTGCTGTTGAACCAGCGGGTCAGCTGAGGGACGGGGCAGGCGGGTGGGCAGGGAGGCCAGCCAGAGTGTGCTTTCCCTCAAAGACCGACGCTGATTTTGTTTTTACAGTCAGATCTCTGTCGGTATTCAGTTCTTGTGTGAGAGGGGCATGGCTTTTCCCTTCCTGTCAATGCTGGGCTGAAAACCATGATTTTATTTATTGTTTACAAAGCGAAAACATGGTACATTGATTGTTAACTACTCACCACAGGTAATGCACATGAGAGAGGGGTGCAGGCCCAACGAGAGGCGTCACTGAGGAAGCACACGTGTCGGGTGGATCTCTTCGACGACCCCTCCTACATTAATACGCAGGCTCTTCAAAGCACACTTGTCTCTGCTGGAAATCAAAGCTCAGCTCACCCACTGGGGAGCCCGTGGCACCGTGAAAGTAAGTGGCTGCTCATTGCCTGTGTTAGTTTCCTGTGCTGCTGAAACAAGTGACCACAAATGGGGAGCCTTACAACAACAGAAATGGATTCTCTCACAATTACGGAGGTCAGAAGTCCTAAATCAGGATGGCAGCCAGGTGGGTTCCTTCTGGGAGCCTCTAGAGGAGACTGGGTTCCGTGTCTTTCTCCCGGATTCTGGTGGCTGACAGCAGTTTTTAGCATTCCTTGACTTGGAGACATATCACTCCAGTCTGCCTCTTTCTCCACATGGCCTTACCCCTGTATCTCAAATATCCCTCTCCTTTCTCTTCCAGGACACCTTTCTCTGATAGATGGGCCGGAAATCCAGGAAGAGCTCATCTCATGTCCTTAGTTTAATTCGTCTACAAAGACCCTTTTTCCAAATTAGGTCCCATTTGCAGGTACCAGGGGTCAGGACTTGAGAGTGGTCCTTTGGGGACCACTGTTCAACTCACTACACTGTCTCTCATTTTCAAGAAGGATATTTCCTCAGCCTCATTTTTCTGGAAGTTAAAAGGATTCTTACCTCAGTCCCTCACCACAGTTAATATATTTTAAAACTTGGTGGAGATGTTGTGGATTTCAAGGTTTGGGGACTTTGATTTTGAATAATCTTTTCAAACACTTTAAATTGACTCCAAACTTTTGTTTTTGCTGAAGGAAGGGCTGTCAAAGCCAGGAAATAATTTTGAATTTGTTTGCATGGGGAACAGTGGCCACTATTTCGGCTCTGTTTAGTGATAGTGTTAATTTTATTCATTTCAAAACCCCTTAGTAAGTCATCTATACAGCATTAAAATAAGATGACTTCTTTCTTCAGCCATATACTGTGAGTAAAATACAATGAGATAAACATCATTTTCCTGCCAGATTGCTTCCAGGGGGTAAATCCATAAACAGGAGCATAAATAAATAAAAGCAAAACAAGCCAAAAGCCTACAATCGACTGAAAAATAAATGAACAAAAAATGCTTTTCATAAAATGCTGAAGCTTGTTGGGTTCAGAGATTGGCTTAGTGTCAAGTTCGGCTCAGTCTAAAGAAGGAGAACCAGTGGCTGAGAAAGTCCTTTCACTCGCCCAGGAAGTCTCTCCAGACTGCCAAGGGCAACTTTGCGGCTGGTGTGGCTGCAATGACAAGGTGAAGTCTGAAAGGCGATTTTGCTGAGGCTCGGCTTTTCTCGACCACCTGAGCTCTCTGGGCCGAGACAAAGGTCTTCATTCCCAGCCAGGTGGCAAGCGGGCCGTCTTCTTGCAGGCTCTCCCAGGTCACTCTTGACAACCACACAAGCTGGTTGGATTCTCTGGAACAGATGCTGAGATGGGGCCTGGCATGCAGGGTCTTTGTTGGGATCAGAATCAGGAAGGGGGGGAAGAAAGCAGGCTTGAGCAGAGAGAGAGGTGGGGCAACCATGCCAGCCTGACGAAGCCTCTGCCACCCCTGCAGGGAGCACACGGGGCCTGCTGGAGTTGTCCCACATGGAGCCCGAGGGCAGGGCCTTTTTGCCCCACTTATCTCCGTCTTTGGATGTGGCCCACGAGGGCGGGCAAGCCCGTGGGCAGGCAGCTCTCTGCAGCTGAGGCAGACCCTGAAGGGGCGGTCAGTAGAACATCTGGGGTACTTGGTCCTTCCTTGAAGAGGGATCCGGGTAGTGCACCTCCACGTCCACCACAGAGGGCATCTTGTGTTGTGGATGCGGGATATGCAGTGAATTCAGATTTCTGCAGTGAATTTAACTGTTTAATGCAGAGGGGCAGTTTTTGGGAGAAGTTTCTGGACCTCAGGTTTTGAGAGTCACTTTGTGACAGCGTGCACTCAGTCACTTCCATTTCATGGACTTTTCAAAGCAACAATGTTTTATGAGAAAACACATTTAATGGGTGGCCCACATTAGGTGATCTGGGTTATTCCTTGATTTACAACTCCAGTCCCTTTATAAGCAAATCCTCAATGTTAAAAATCCTTATAACTCAAGCAAAGAAACTTTGCCTTTTGTCATTGACAATTTAATAATATGAAAGGCAAAATTAATCCATAATACCATTCCTGTCATTAGTTGAAAGTAATAAGTTCTGTTCTGTCCAAAATTGTAATGTCAAAATGTATTTTCATTGATTCCAGTCTGTTTTCTTTTTTTCGTCCTTTTTCCCTTTCCCTGCCTTAGCAGCAGGATATTTAATAATTTAGGCCTGCGGTCCTCTCGTACTTTTTATTTCCGTTTAAGATTTGATGTACCATAGCCCTTCTGGGCTTCTCACTAGCCCCTTGAGGTTAATTTCAGCATACCATCATTCTCTCCAAAAAATAATTAACTCCTACTCCAAAAGTATATATAATGTTGATATGAGAAAATTTAGTAAAATGGAATAGGGATAACTTTAAACATAACTTTCTGCAGAATGTTTTAAGTACACCTTTTAACATTTCCCTCCTAATGTTTCCTCCTCTCTCTTTCCTTCTTCCATTGAAAATTCTCTTCAGCTTCCTTAGGCAAACTCAGCCTCCCTTATCATGGTGAGTTACGGTTAGTTCAGTAAAACAAAACAAAAACAAATCTAGAGACATGAACCTAATATATCTCAAGTATGCCGTTAGGGCTCCTCGGTTCACCCTCTTACACTGCCAGCCTAGGAAGAGCTGTGACCCAGTCTTGACTCTGATCTAACACGGCTGGAGGAAATCATTAGTACTGAAACTGTTTAATCTTTGTGTTGAATTATTATTGGTGTCAGTCTAAGCTGCCATAGCAAAGAAACTCCCCTAAATGCCAAAGTATAAAAAGGACTGATGTTCATTTATTTTACCTAATAGCCCCAAGATGGGTGGTGCAGGGCAGGTAGGACAGCTTTGCTGTTCTCAACAGCCGGCTTCCATCTCTGGTCCAAGGTCTTCTATCTTCCTTCTAAGAGCCTAGGCTCTCTCCATCACATCTGTATTCAGCCAGTGGGAAGCAAGAAAGGCAAGAGGAGTGCACACACGTTCCTTTAAAGGAGGAGACCCAGAAGTGGCAGACATCATTTGTTCTCCTCTGCCACGAGCAGAACTTAGACATGGGACCATACCTAGCTTCACAGGAGTGGGAAACATTCCTCTAGCTGTGTGTCCATGTGCCCAGCTGAAAATTAGGAGTCCCATAATGTGATGAAAGGGAGAATAGATATTGGTCCACAATTAATCATCTCTGCCACAGCACACCTTCCTTTCACATAGAACACATTTGCTGTCTCTCAAAGGGAGACCTTGCAAATACCCCCAACAATGACAGTGTCCAGCCTGAAGTCTGTGACATCTGGGTGATGTGAGATCCTCTCAGTCAAGATTGGATGGGGATCCTTACTACTTGCCAAGTTTTCTAGCTCCTTCCCCACCCAAAATTAGTGGTGGAAGAGGAATAGAATAGCCTCAGTGAGAACCCACATTGACAAAAGGGAAGCGTGCAGAAACGCAGTGGTCACTGGTCCAGAGTGATTACCAAGTGCTGCCAGGCAGCAGTTGTGAAGACTCCCTGAACTGGAATGGGAGAAAGCTATTTGCTTGGACTCTAGTTCAGCTTTCGGAGAGGACTCTCCTCGTCCACTGTCACCTGTGGGCCCGGACTGTGCCCTCTGGCTTGTTTCTGCTGTTATCTTTCCTGTGTGCAGAGAACGGAGATGTTGGGAAAAATGCCTTTCTTAGGGGCTTCCCCACTAGTACAACATATTTCCTGTTGACGTGGGCTTGAGCAATGGGAGTTTGCTTTAGAGGCCAAAAAGCCACGGACAAGAAGGGATTGCGGTTTCTTGGGCAGTGTAATTTCCTTAAAAACTTTGTAGGATTTCTCTGTTTGCCGGGAGTCAGTTCCACGTGAAATTTCCCATTATATTCCTTCACTGTCTTTTTATTGCCTGGAGGATGCCTTCTCTCTTTCCTGTTATTTATCATTTCTGTTCCTTTTTTTTTCTTGATCAGTGTTCTTTGAGATTTATTCATTTAATTGATCTTTCCAAAGGACTCAAGTTTGGGTTTCATTTTTTTCTTTTTTTTGTTGTTGTTTGTTTGTTTTCTGTTTCGTTGACTCCCATTTATATCTTTATTATGTCTTCCTTCTACTCTCTTTGGATTAAATTTTCTCTTCTTAATCTAACTCGTACTACACTTTCTTCTATTGCCTTTATAGTTTTATTTACAAATAAAATATTTATTTCACTGGAACTTTATATTTTCTCGGAGGTGGAGGGGCTAACTTAATTTTGTCTATGTTAAGTCATCTGATTTTCCAAACAACATTAACTGCATAATCTCCTCTTTCTCTAATGCCTCTCCCCATTTTACCAGATTCCTCCTATATATGTATGTGAATCTGTTTCTGGGCCTTTATTATACTTTTTATATTGGCCTACTTGCTTGTTGTATACCAGCATATTAATTATCATATACAAATTACTATGGCTTTGTAATATATCTTAATGATGTGTACTTTTTCCTTTATATTACAGATAATTTTTCTCTCAGTGCTATCTCAACCTTTCACTTATGCTTAACATTTTATGTTAATATCTTTTTCTGTCAGCGTGTTAGACACTTCATAGAGGTGAATGTATTTTTCTCCTCGATAATGCAATAAATTCCTATTTTTATAATTTTCACACACCCAGTAATGCATACTGATATATATACATACTGATATATAATACATAATCAATTTCTCATAATTTGTAGGTTGCATAATTTGAGAATTTGCTCACCTGCTAAAATTTATTTGTAATCCCCAAATCAGTACTCACGGCACTTTTGTGGTATGTGCAAAGCAACAGAATTTGAGTTGCCTAGTGTGTAACCTCCCAGCTGAGGTCAAACCAGGCCCCACTCTGCCTGCTTGTTTCAGCTCTTGCTGTAAACAGGTGAACTCTTGAGGTCTACTTACTGCTACACTGCCTGCATTTTTGTGCTCTCTGTTGATGATTTTGCTATTTAAAATGACCCCCAAGTGTAGTACTGAAGTGCTGTCTGGTGACCCTAAGTGCAAGAGGGCTATGATTGCCTGACAGAGAAAAGATCTGCATTAGATAAACTTAGTTCAAGCATGAGCTACAGTGCTGCTGCCCGTGAGTTCAGTGATACTGAATCAGCAACCATATATACTAAATACAGTATTCTCAAACAGAAACACACATAAAACAAGGTCCTGTGTTGATGGATTGGTGGAAATGTTGTGACCAGAGGCTTGGGAGAACCTCACCCTGCATTTGTCTTAGGGGCAGGGGTTCCGTTTTCACTAATTCAGTGTTCTGGAAATTTTATAAAATACAACTACTGTGCACAAAGTGAGCACTTATGGAGGATAAGTGGTGGAGGATGAATCAGAGACGGAGGCTTATAATGAGGAGAAAAGGGTAGTCTTTTCTTCCCACAACAGAAAATTGAGGATTGTCCCCGAACCCTGACACTTTTCTCCCAAGATTATATTCCTCTTCTGATTTTATCTTTAGTTATATGGCTGTCTTGACTTTTGTATACATTTTTAATTTTATAAACAGTATTTTTTTCCTTGTTGCTTCCTTAGCTTTCACTACTTGTGAGAAAATATAATTATATTAAGTTAATAATTTATTAACTAGTCTATGGAAATGATCTAAATAACCATATTTAAATTATGATTAGCTTTCTCGAAGTCAGCAGTACAGACGAAAAGGAGTCAAAACTAGATAATGCACCACAATGTAAAAGAGAGGTTGTACTTTGTGATGGGACTGTGGGTGATTCATTTTCTTTGTTTTTTTGTTTTTACCAGATTAAAAAAATTAACATGTATAACTTTTTAAATTAAAAGTTAAAAAAAAATCTGTTACATATTCTCCTTTTAGAAAAATTGTGTTTTCAGCAAATGTTTTGATGATTGAAATTGTGCTGATTTGGGAAACTGTATTAGGAAAATATTGTCCATACCCTGGGGCTGGCCAATGATCTGTTGCCTCTTTTCAAGATGATATAATGTCTGATTTTCTTTTGTTTTGTCCTCGTCCAAGAGCACTTCACAATCTCAGAATATACTAAAAGCCATTGTTCACTGAGATTCGTGGGCCTACACACATAGGCGTGAATCTTCCTCACACTCACACAAACACTTTCTCTCTCACATACGCAAACACACACCAGAAGTTCTCTATTATGCCTGAAAGCAGGCAGCGCTAAGGCCAACTACAGACATTATTCATCAAATCCGGACATATTTCTTCAGCCTTTCTCTGGCAACAACAGATAGAATCTGATAATAGAGGAGAATATTTTTAGCCATTAGATGTAAACTAAAGATATTTTCAAAAAGATATATTCATGAAATGCTGCACCATAATTGTGCTACGCGGAGAGAAGTTCTTAAGTAGGGACGAAACTGTAACATATTGACAGGAGAACTGAACTATGTCTACAGGGCACTGGTTGCCTGTATCAGTGATTTCCTGGGTTTGTCTGGTTTAAGTGGTAAAACTGAAAGTCAAAAGGGTTTCTCATTTGTGAGACCCTTGCATAAGGACATGTAAACACTCCTTTGCATTTATAAAGATGAAGCTGGTTTCTATGCCAAAACTCATTTGCATTTAAAAAGACAAAGTCTGATTTCTATGGTTATTTTCCTAGTAAATTTGCCATATTACACATACAACTTTTTTTTTTTTTGACATAACAACTTTTATCTGTATTCAGACGTAAGAATTTTATGTTATTGCTTCTGGCGATGCTGTGTATCATCCTTATAGCCTTGCTGTGTACTTAGGGACCTTTGTGGGTTCTGTAGAAGTAGAATGGTTTAGACCAATTTTGAAAATTGAAAGATTTCCTCATCCAAGGCCAGGGTCTTAGAGTGTGGTGATTAAGGACCTGGGCTGTGATGCCAGATCTCATTTCAAATCCCAGATCTACAACATGTTAGCAGTGTGACTTGGGGAAAGTCATATAACCTTTTTAAAGATCCATTTCCTTGCCTGTCTAATTTTGAGAGACAAACAGGACAATATTATGTAAAGCATTGAGCATTACCTGTCATACTCAAAAAAATGAAAACTACATAATAATTATCACTATGAGTATCAATAGTACTATAAAGGGCTACCTGGATGTACCCCAGTGCTTTCAACTCTGGATAGCATTTATTCTGCAGAGCCTTGGGGGACCTGCCTCAGGCCATGCCTCCCTGATGTTTCACCTTCCTTTACCTGATTGATTCTGCTTTGTCCAGGCAGGCAAATTACACACACACACACAAAACCAGAATGATCATTTAACAGGAATGCTGTGAGGTTCAGCATAGCTTTAAAGCTCTTGGGCCGAAGCATCTCTGAAGCATGTTGGTAGTTTTTTTTTAAAAAAGGTAAATGCTAAAAAGTAGGCATAGCCCATCATTACTCTAGGCATTTTCAAAGAGTTTGGGAATGTTTTAGAATTTATCTGTAATCCAGGTAGAGCATAAGCTCTTTCTCTTTAACATACAGCCCCTGGGAGATAAAGAGCCCCTCTCTGCACTTATGAAAGCAGTTCTCATGGGTCAGTTCCATTTCTCATCTGAAAGGAAAACTCCTGCACCTGGGCAAGGCTTTCCTGGTTACAGAAGTCAAAGGCAATGTTTGGATCTACCATTAAATTAGAGCCCGTTGGAAGTTCTGGAAACAAGAACCCTGTTTGTTCCAGAAATAGCATAATTGAAACAGTGCTGGGCACACAGTATGGCCTCAAGTGTATTTGCTGAGTGAATGAATGAATGGGTGGGTGAGGAGGTAACTTGGTGGCATCTCTCCTTATATTTTGACTTCAGAGGCACCAGAAACTGTTCAGCCAGGTGCCACGGCCCAGCCTGCCAGCACGCATTCTCTGCCACTCATTAAACAGCAGCTGCGGAGTGAAGACTGCTACCACGGCAAGCTGAGCAGGAAAGCGGCAGAGAGCCTCTTGGTAAAGGACGGGGACTTCCTGGTTCGAGAGAGTGCAACGTCTCCTGGCCAGTATGTGCTGAGTGGGCTCCAGGGAGGCCAGGCAAAACATCTTCTCCTGGTGGACCCTGAAGGCAAGGTATCACTGACCTTTCGTTATGACTTCACAGAATCTTGTGATCAAGGTTACGCTAAGTGATAGGTATGAAACCTGATATTGAAGGGTGTTCAGTGTTAAGGGTTCACCTCTTCTTGAACCCTCCAGCTGGAGCAGGAAGTGGTAAGTAGAGGCTGGTGGAGGGGTTTGAGTGGGAGCCACCCTAGAGGATCACCGAGAGGACAGCCTCTTTCTGCCCTTCTCAATTCAATTCAGTGAATTAAATGAATACCTGCTACATGGAGGTACAGGGATTCACAGCTAACTATTGTTCAGTATCACATAGTGAGTCCTTGCTCTCAGGGTGCTTATATTTCATAAAACAGATGCTTAATTAAGGATGAATGACATAAGAATGGTTCAACCAACATATTATGGTGTTTCTCAGGAGAGAGGGGTGCTCTGCTTGAGGCAAACTGAAAAGGCATCTTACAGGGTCTGACATACAAGATAAACCTTGAAAGGGCAGAATTTTTAAGGGGGGAGCATATATGAAGTCTTACAGGAGCAGACAGAGCAATAGAATGGTATCAAATCAAATCAAAGATGTATGCTTGGAGCTGAGATGCCTGTAGACAGATCCTGGACAAAAACCAATTAACAAAATAGCAAGTCCTGCTCTATAAATAATTACTTTAAATGTAAATGGATTAAACTCCCAAATCAAAGGATGCAGAATAGCTGAATGGATAGCTGAATACACAAGATCCAGCTATTATGTATGCTGTTTATAGGGGGCTCACTTTTTCCCTTGTTTTTACCCTATTTTTATTTTTAACCAGAAGGTTAAAAATGGTCATATCACAAACAAGAGAAAGTTTATTTATTAGAAAGTTCAGTACCCAAAAAAATTTTTTGGCTTTCACTAGTTCTTTTTTTAAAAATTGAAGTATAGTCATTTACAATGTTGTGTCAATTTCTGGTGTACAGCATAGTGTTCAGTTATATATGTATATATTCCTTTTCATATTTTTTCATTATAGGCTATTACAAGATATTGAATATAGTTCTCTGTGCTATACAGTAGGACCTTGTTGTTTATCTATTTTATATTAGTAGTTAGTATCTGCAAATCCCAAACTCCCAATTTATCCCTCCCCACCCACACCCACCCCTTTCCCTTTTGGTAACCATAAGTTTGTTTTCTAGATCTGTGAGGTTCATTTTAGATTTATGGACACACAGACTGAAAGTGAAAAGATGGATAAAGATACTCCATGCAAATGACAACCAAAAGAAAACAGGGGTGGCCATACTCATATGAGACAAAATATAGGAATAGTGACATGATAGAATGTATCAAACAGTAACATGGCAAAGGGGTTGGTTACAAATTCGTATTGGGTGACAGGTGTTACTGTTTTCCTAACTGGGAGGGACAGTTGCTTTAAAAAGGTAATGGGGAATGAGAAAATTGTTTACAAAGGGATACGGAATTGAACATACCTTTTCTTCTTTTTTTTCAGCCAATAGCTCATTCCAGGATATGTCTGTCTCTTTTTCCCACCTAATTGTTTATGTCTTTCAGGAGATCTGTTATCATTTAACCTAACATATTTGTATTTCCTTTTCAAGGTGAGGACCAAGGATCATGTATTTGATAATGTGGGCCACCTTATCAGATACCATATGGATAATAGTTTGCCAATCATCTCTTCTGGAAGTGAAGTAAGCCTTAAACAACCAGTGAGAAAAGATAATAATCCAGGACTTTTGCATTCCAACAAATGACTGTGTGGAAGTACCGTCACACTGGCACTTCAAGAAAGTCCATTTTGTGTGAGGACACAAAGATCATTCAAACTCGATTTCTAGAAAAATTAGAGCACAGACTGTGAAGTGTATCTTTCTGAGACCACCATGGTCCTTTATAAAACAAAGAACTAACAAAAATTGATCTTCAGAAACTGAAAATCAGCAGAGGGGAGGAGGATGAGTCCGTTTGAAAAGAAATTATACATATGCACGGATGTCACTTTTTAAGGCCATGTTGCATTGATAACAAGCTAAAAGCACAATTAAAATTTCACATGCTAAAGACAACTTGAATGAACTGCTGGGGCAGTGGTATGTGCCTTTCAACTTGATAATCTGGGGACATTTTCATATTGGGGAAATTAGTTCTAAGTGACTTCATATTCTATAACTATAGAACCATTTGCCAAAAAAAAGTTTTTCCTTGTTACAAAAATAAGAAGCAATTTGCTTAATAGTTATTGACTTTATTACCTTTTCTGTTCAGTAGCACTTTCACGGTAGTGTTAAAATAAATTGGATGTTGAATTCAGGCTGTGTCTATGCCAGTGGAGTCAAATCAGAAGCCACTGAAAGCGCTGGTCTGTTTCATTGGCCTGTCCCACTTGCTGGTTAAAGGACTGGAGTCCAAATTCTTTGGCCTAGTGTTTTTCAATCTTTGCTATGTAGACTGTTTGTGTACAGCATATGATGAACTGAAAAAGCCAGCTCTATCAGTTGTTTCTGATTTCATCACATTTCTCCCTCCTCCCTCCCTCTCACCCCCCGAACCCCCCAAAAAAGAGCTTATGAGTGCATGGATTTAAAAGATGGCAAACAAACCAGTGGTAGGGGGAGGGTATAGCTCAGTGGTAGAGCGCATGCTTAGCACGCACAAGGTCCTGGGTTCAATCCCCAGTGTCTCCATTAAAAAAAATAATAATAATAATAAATAGATGGCAAACCAGTGTTCTTCATATTCAATCTCCAAATTGGTTCCATTCTTATTTAAAGTACTAAATTTATTTTAAACATAGGGAAATATCCCCTCAATTGGCCGTGACTGAATCAAAGTTCCATCTACATGTATCCTTAGCACTTTTTCTAGATATGACCAGACAAAATGCAGAAGGGAGAAAACATTGAATGAAACAATTGGGAAGTTTTGCCACATGTAGGCACACTTGGTAAACGGATGGTGTAATCAAGTGTTGTGTAGGGAAAAGCACTTGGACTGGGTCTCAGTGTGACCTTGACCAACTTGCTGAACCAACCCATCTGGGCTCCAGTTTCCTTGTCTATAAAATGAGGGAGCTGGGCTAGGTAAATTCAGAGGTCCATTTCAGCCCTAACATGAGTCTATAAAAAGCAAATTTTCTATTTATTGGGGGTCAACGTTGATAACCAGTCTATATAATTAAGGTGGAAACTTCAGCTGTTTCTCTAGTCTTTGTCTGTATTGACTGAGATCATTCAGATTAGCAGAGATCTGGAGACTTTCAGTCGAAAACATTGAAACTTTGAAAAAATGTAAGTAATGATGGTAGAAGTAGATTTGGTTATTTTGAGTAGAGAAGACAGCTTCAGTCCTTTATCTGCCTTTACATATAGAGATATGGCTGTTAGAGTGGTTTTTTTTTTTCATCTTGAGTTATCCAGACAGTTGCCTTAACTCCACTTCATTTTGGCTGTGTAGATACAACTTAATCTTTGTAATTGTGAATATTTGCTAAGTTTTAAATAAAATATGAGAAACTTCTTTTGGAAAGAAATCATCGGAAATCAAGCACACTGAACTCTAATATTTTTATGTGAAGGTTTATGCTTTTATTTTACTTCTGCTATTGGCTTCTTAGATAGGTTTGTTTCCTTTTATACAACTAGGAAATAATGTCTTTTCCCTCAATTTTGCATACACTATAGTCCGTGATTATCTGTCCTCATAAAGGGGGTCAGCATGGGTATAAATCAGTGACATTTGTGGGTGATCTAGTCAATGTAACAGAGAGAGTGGTGCTGTGGTCTCATCCTGGTTGAACAAAATGATAACTGGGTGGCAAGAAAGAGTTCTTGATACAAATAGTCACAAAGATTAGAACTGATGTGAGCAGTACACGTAGATGATCAGTATCTGAATGTAACGTATAGTAGTTAGATGAGCAAATTCTGCAGTTACAGATACAACAGACACAGTGAAAATAAAATGAAACAACAAAAGAAGTGTTTGACTGCATGCTATTTTAATGACACACTCTTATCTTTATCTGTCTTAAAGTGGGAATCCATTTGCCATATAAAAACCTGTAAACAACTTTTCAAAAAAATAAATGAGTATTGCTTTGTGACAGTTGACAGTATATGTCTGATGTTTGGGAGTTGGAACATTTATCGTTTGATGGATGTCAGGGTCCTGACAGGAAACAGATGGCTCACTTAAATTGGGTACTTAGAGGAGTGTTTAATAGAGGGACTGCTTACAAAGGTGTGGGCAGAGTAGGGGGAACCACAAGGGAGGATGCAGTGCTGCTCAGCCAGCGGGAGGACTGAGGGGAGGGAGCAGTAACAGAATCTGGAGAGAGAGCTGTAAGGAAGGGCTGCCTCTCAGGAGCTGGGGCTGCAGAGGAGGGGCCTGGCCACCCCTGGCGACCCCACAAGGACAGCCTCATAGCAGGCGGCACTGGAACAATGGTACATCTCTAGACAGAAGGATGAACCTCACACTGTACATAAACATCAACTCAAATGGATTATGGACTTAAATGTATAACTATGAAGCTTTTAGGAAAGAAAAACATAGAGGGAACTCTTCAGGATATAGGGCTAGGCAAGGAGTCCTTAGACATGATCCTTTAAAAAAAGTGGTATGTTGCACTTCATTGACAGTATGAATTTTTGCTTGGTGAAAGCTCTGTTGAGAGGATGAAGGACAAGCTATGGACTGGGAGGAAGGATTTACAAACCACATATCTAGAATGTATTAAAAAAAGAAGTTCTTAAAACTCAACAGTAAAAAAATCTAATTAGAAAATGGGCCCAAAACATGCATAGACATTTCACTGGAGAGATAGATGTGGCACATAAGCATGTGAAAAAAAAATTCAGTATCATTGGCCAGTAGGAAAATGTAAATGAAAATCACAATGAGATATTACTACACACATATCAGAATGGGTAAATGAAAAATAATGACAACACTAAATGTTGACTAGGATGAGAAGAAAGTGGATCCACATACATCCCTGGTGAGGATGTCGAATCGTACAGCCACTCCAGAAAGCAGTTGGGTGCCTACTGAGTTCTGGGTGGACATGAAATACGTGGAGGAGGAGAAACTATTCAACCCCTACATGACCCAAGCTTGCCCAAGTCAAAAGATGTTTTAAGATTCAGATGATCACAAACCAAAGAAAAGACGAACTGTCAGGCTTCACAAAGTGTAGGAATGGGCAGACCCATGGCTCTAAGTGGCAGAAGTTCATGATCTTCAGTCTAGGCTCCACCATGTACATGACCCGGCTGTGGAAGTAGTGTATTTTCCATAAAATACAGACAAGTGTGATGAAAGTCTATTTCTTTTCTGTATGGTTACTACTTGACTCAGTTTCCTGGAATATTATTTCAGTTATCTGAGTAGGGAATATGATTTGCCCAGCTTGGGTCTGGTACTCACATTTGACCCAATCAGGTATGGCCAAGTCTTGGGGTGGTAGGGAGGTGATGGTGGTGAGGTCAGAGTGGCTGTGGGCAGGAGCAGATTCTGATAAGGGGCTTAATCAGGGAAGGCATTTTCAGCCACATTTCAATATTAAATGTACCCCTAGAACAGTGCTTGGCACAAAGTAGATGCTTAAAAAATACTATTAAATACACTACAAATAATGGTTTGATATTCCTTACCTAAATAACACTCAGTTAAATGGTGTTTCTACATTTTAAAAGCTCTTTCACACAATCTCATTTCATCCTTTTTACAATCCTGCGAAAGTAGATATTATCACTCCTATTTTCAAATAAGAACTTCGAGGCACATAAGTGTTAAATAAATTGTGGACAAAAGCTAGTAGGTAGGAGAGTTGGAACATGAACCAAATCTCTAAGTTTGGGGCTCTTTTGAGAATATTACTCCCTATTACACTAGATGGTATTGCTTTGACCTGCTAGCTTTGACACCAAAGAAAAGGTAGGAAAAGGAGGGAAGGAAGGCTTAACTCCACCTTCATAAATGATCTGAATGGGAGGGACCCCATCTCAACAACAGAGCATTTCCCCTTGCAATTTAAATGAGTCTGACAGAGGGAGCCCTTCCCAACTCACAGGTGTGTCTGTTTAAAAAATGCAAGATAAACATTGACCCAACATTCTGCAAACGTTCTGTCCAGCATTCAAGGTCTTTAGCAGTTTTTCTCTTTTTCCGCATTTGTCTTTATTACCCTAGAATGCCTCTGTGTGCTTGTGTTTCTCTGGACATGTTAAGTTCAGTCCTTGTGCGCCCCCTACCTCACCTCTGTAGAATGGCTTTCCCATTCCTCCAGGCTTCAGGCTCCTCTGTTGGCTACCTTGTCCCAGGCTACTTCTGCAATTTGATGTTTAAATACAAGAATCCTTTTCTTTTGCTGGTCTGCCCTTCATTCTGCAATCACTCATGCTGATCAGCCTGCCTGTTGACTCTCTCTTCCTCCAGGAGCTTTCCCTGATAGATTTTTCCTTATATAGTCACTCTTCCTCAGAATTATTACCTATTCTACTCATATTGCGTATATTGTAGTGAACTATTTTGTGTGCGTGTGTTATCATTTGTCTTTTTTGGTAAGCATCTTGCACCTCAAATAGAGTGTGGTTGTCTGGAGGGTAGGGGTCCTGCCTCACACTATATTCAAGCATCTAAGCCAGGAATTAAACCTGATAGGCAATCATGAAAATTTTGTTGATTATAATATGCCCACTCAGATCCGTTTTTAGAGGCAAGAGTCTGATTTATTTCTTATTTTGCATCTTTCGTGACTTAGGTGCTTAAGTCTCACTTACATTGTATATATAGTGATGAGCTCTGGATGTAGAGATAAAGGAGCTGGGTTCAAATTCTGTCTCTGTCTTACATTAGCTGTGTAACCTTGGGCAAGTCACTTAATTTTTTTTGGTCAGTTTCCTCCACTGTAAAATGGGATCCTAATACCTGTACTAGCCCCTCACAGGGTTGTTGTGAGGAAAAATGAGCTAGAGTCTATGAAGGAACTTAATCAAAATCTTAAGCAGTATGTAAGGGATTATAAACACTGTCTCCTCATGTGCTTCTTCACCTTAACATCTCTTC